ATGAACAATTAAATAGCAGGGCTAAGTGATAAATGAACACACATAGGGTTGAAAATTAGGGAGAGAGGAAGGGTGAGGAGAAAGGAGAGGGGTAGGGTGATGGAAAGCTCTTTTTTCTAACAATTGATAATTATGCAAATGATGATGTATATAAGGGAAAAAATGAAAAATTGCATGAAAAATATTTGATTTGTGGATGAGAACAGAGAGAGAGGAAGAGAGAGAGAGAGTGTGTGGAATAAACTGCTTCACGTGTACAGGGTTTTTTGAAAGTCTGAAAGTAAACAAAATAGGTCGTCATTTTTTTGAAATATTTGATTTGAGATTCCTTAGAAAGCATGCATTTCAGGTATATAGTGGCTTTGGCAACTTTAATGGTCAAAATCTGGCCAATACTTTTGTAAAACAAACCAATCCTCAGACGAGTCATTAAAGGGGTCTTTTAACTCCTTTTCTTCAAAAACCTTTAAAAATTCCCATAACATGTGATCGTGTCGGATCTAAATACTCTACAAATTTGTGCGTCAAAAATTGTTACTATAGATCTCAGAATAAATTAAAACTTACCCAAAAGCCGAATATCGACAAAATATTTTCAAAATGTAAAAATAGGCGGAACGTCCATTTTTTCGAGTTAAGGTTTCTTGCTACGCATGTATTTTAGGTATATAGTGTCCTCAGCAATACTACTGATAATAATCGGGAGAATATTTTTTGTAAAACAAAACTAACCCTCAGTCGAGTCATTAAACGTGTCTTTTTTGGGCCTTTTTTTCAAAAATATGGTTAAAAACTCCCTTAAGATGTGATTGTATCAGTTCAAAATATTCAACAAAGTTATTCGTCATAAAATTCTTCTATAGGTCCCAGAAGACATCAAAAGTCCAAAACATACCTAAAGGCTGGAAATCGGTAAAATATTTTCAAATTGTAAAAATGGGAAATTACGAGTTTTTTACATTTCTAAATAAATATTTGAGTAGTGATTTCTTGATATCCTTGACATCATTTAAGGTATATAATGTCCTTGGTAATATCACTTCAAATCCGGGAATATTTTTGTAAAACATATTAACCCTAAGTCGATTCACTAAAGGGGTCTTTTTGGTTCTTTATTTAAAATCATCAAAAACTCCCATACAATGTAATAGTATCAGTTTAAAATATTCTACAAAATTATTCGCCATAATATTTCACTATGGGTCCCAGAAGACATCAAAGTCCTAAAACTTACCTGAAAGTCGGAAATCGTTAAAGTATTATTAAAATATAAAAATGGGAAATTTCGGCAATTTTTAAATTCTTGAAAATATCCGAGTTAGGATTCCTTGGAAATCATGGATTTTAGGTATATTATGTCTGGGACAATATTTCTGGCAATAATCTGTGGAATATTTTTATAAAAGAAACTAACCCTCAATCGAGCCAATATGGGGGTCTTTTCTGTCCTTTATTTCAAAACCCTTTAATAACTCCATTAAAATATGATCGTATCAAAACAAAATATTCCACAAAATTATTTTCATAATTGTTTACTATAGGTCCCAGAAGACATCAAGGTCCTAAAATTGATCCAAAAGCCTGAAATCGGCAAACCATTTTCAGAATGTAAAAAAATGGGTAGTTCCGGCAATTTTTTACATTATTGCAAATATTTGACTTAGGATTCCATGGAAACCATGCATTTAAGATATACAGTATCTTTGGCAATTGTACAGGTAAAAATCTGGCAAATATTTTTGTAAAACAATAAAGGGGTCTCTTAGGTCCTTTATTTCAAAAACCTTTAAAAACTCCATTAGGATGCGTTCGTATAAAAATAAAATATTCCACAAAATTGTTCGTCATAAATTTTTACTATTGGTTCCAGAAGATATAAAAAGTCCAAAACATATCCAAAAGCCTGAAATCGGCAAAATATTTTCAGAATGTAAAAAATGGTAAGTTCCGGCCATTTTTTTACATTTAGGATTCCATGGAAACCATGCATTTAAGGTAAATACTTTTGTAAAACAAATTAACCCTCAATCGAGACAATAAAGGGGTCTTTTCGGTCCTTTATTTCAAAAACCTTTAATAACTCCGTGATCGTATTAATACAAAATATTCCACAAAATTGTTCGTCATAAATTTTTACTATAGGTCCTTGAAGACATTAAAATTAAAAAAAAAAAAACTTATCCAAAGCCGGAAATAGGCAAAATAATTTCAAAAAATGTAAATTCTAAGTATTTGATTTAGAATTCCATGCAAACCATGAATTTTATGTCTTCAGCAATTTTCTAGGGAAAATCGGGGGAATATGTTTGTGAAACAAATTAACCTTCAAAAACGTCCATAACGTCCTTTTGGTCATTTTCTTCAAATGCCTTATAAAAAACTCCTATAAGATGTAAATGTAGCGGATTCGAGTACGCTATAAAATTGTTCGTCATAAAATTCTAACTATTGCTTCCAGAAGACACCAAAACTCGAAAACTTACCTAAACGCCATGAATTCTTTTATTAACAACGCATTTTAGGGTTAATGTCGTACTACATGACAGTTCATGCAAAATTCTCCCACAAACCTTGATTTTAGAAGGATACAGTCAAAGACAAAAATATTATTCATCAAAGTTCACTAAAAGTTGCCAAAGAAAAGAAATCTGTACTTCCAAAATATATCAAAAAAATATTTGTTTTATTTGTGCCAAAAAAAATCCTTTTTTTTTTTGCAAAGTTTTCTTCGGTTTTTTTTCGAGTTGAAGCATGAAAGTGACATAAAATTTTATTTTAGACAGGAAGTATCAAAAGGACAAATGTTCCTCATAAAATTTCACTATAAATCTCCGAATAAATCATATATCTAGCTATGATAGTTTTTAAAAAGATTCCATTCGAAATGTATAAATTACAAGTAAAAAATTTGAATTTAGGTTTTTGTTGTGAATTAAACACTGTTCCGTTTTAAGTCAATATCTCCATTCATGGTTCATTTTTTAAGAAAAGTGTCAAAGGAAAAAATATTCAAAATCAAATTTTAGTATAGGTCTTCGAGCAAAAGAAATCTGTATACTTTATATTTGTTATAAAAAGATTCTCATAAATTTTGTTAAATAATTTTGTTTTTATTTTCGGTAAATTGGCACTTTATGCAAATTTGCTACAAGTGTTCTTATATTTAGTTGTCCAATTTTGATGGGACATTTTGAGGAAAGAATGCGCATAAATAGATGTCCTTTGTGTAAAATCTAATATCTATATATATTATATACCAATAAGAAATTTGTTTAAATTTTGCAAAAAATAAACGAAAATATTTCCTAATTTTATGATAAAATTGTGTGTAGCTATAATAGTTTTTTTAGAAAATTCAATTGGAAATAAATTTTAAATTTTAAATTTTTTAAATTTTTAAATTTTTATTAAGAAGAAAAAAATATAATTATCAATATAGGTTCATGTGTTGGTACAGCAATAACATAAGGATCTTAAGGATTTTTAAAGATCTTTAGTCAAATTATATGACGAACAATTTTGTAAAATATTTTGATCAAATACGATCACATCCTAATGGAAAAATTTTTAAAGAAAAGGACCTAAAAGTCCCCTTTAATGACTCGACTGAGGGTTAATTTGGTTTACAAAAATATTCTTCAAATTTTTTCCAGCAATATTGTCAAGGACACTTTATACCTAAAATGCATGGAATTCCAAGAATCTTAGCTCGAACTTTTTCAAAAAAAAAAAAAAAAAAACGAAAATGGGCGAAACTCCCCATTCTCTTGTTTTGGAAATATTTTTCCGATTTCAAGCTTTTGGGTAAGCTTTGGAGTTTAGGTGTATTCTAAGATCTTCAGTAAAATTTTATTAAGCACAATTTTGTGAAATATTGTGATCCGATACCATCACATCTTAATGGTGTTATTGAATGTTTTTTTTTTTTAAAAAAAGGACCGAAAATATCCCTTTAATAACTCGACTGAGGGTTAATTTATTGTGCAAAAATATTTCTGGGATTTGTTTCTTTAATATTGCCAAAGATACTATATGCTTAAGATGCATGGTTTCCACGAAACCTTATCTCGAACAATGAGAAGTTCGCCGATTTTTACTTTTTAAAAATAATTTAGCAATTTCCGGTTTTTTGGTAAGTTTTGGAGTTATGTTGTATTCTGAGATTTATAGTAAAATTTTATGGTGAACAATTTTGTAAAATATTTTGATCTGATAAAATCATATCTTAATGGAGTTTTGGAACATTTTTGCAGAAAAGGGCCCTAAATGACCCCTTTAATGACTCGACTGAGGGTTAATTTGGCTTACAAAAATATTGATCGGATTTTTCTCTGTAATGCTGCCAACGACACTGTATACATCTAAAATGCATGGTTTCGAAGGAATCTTAACTTGAGTGCTTTCAAAAGTGTAAAAATGGGCAGAACTTTCCCGGCCTTATATTGGTTACCACCCGATGTGAACTTAAAAAACGCCGGTACACTTGTTTCGTATTTTTAGTTCTACCGTCATTATCTTATTTGAAAATTCTCCAAAAATTGTTATTGTATCAAAAGAAGGTCCATCAAGAAATGTCCTTTTTATAGAATACGGCAGAAGGATAAAAAAAGTGTAAAAAGCGGAAGATTACCCTACAGAAGATCTCTGTCTCATCTCTTCTATTTTTTGATATCTTTGAACGTGGAATTCTTTCTTCTCTTTTCTGCAAGATGCTGGTCGTCAATATATTGAGAATCTTACGCGGAAACATCTCAGCAAGGATTTGGGTGCCATATGAGCCGATTAATACATTACAAGGTAATATAATCGAACTTCATTCAAAATATCCAAAAATTTGAATTTCATTTCTTAAAAAATAGTATCAAATGGATGTCGTTTTGTCCAAAAGAAAATCTTTTGGACACCTTCAAATGCACCTTTTATCTGCAGAATGCCTATTAAGGGATAATATTTTCATGGAAAACCCTTTAAGATATCGAAGGCTTTTAAAAGTGGTATTTTCTTTATATTCTATTTAATCTGGAATTATTCTCCCATAAATCTTGCAAAAGCAATGACAAACGTGGAAGATGTCAATAAAATGTTGATACATTGTGTGCAAAGCGATATTAAAATTATTAAACATATTTACATACATATATATGTACATACGTATTTACATTCAGCTTGAAAGTGCTATTACAATTCCCGCAGTTAAAACAAAAAATGGAGATACCTTGAAGCTATTAACACCTCAAAAATATTTGTTCATGTGATTAGCAGGCGTTTATCAGTCGCAATTACATTACACCGAGTGTGAGTTTTTTATGATTGCATCGAATGACTGACTAACCGACAGACTGCCTGCCTGCCTGTACGATTTACTTGTCTTCATGTAAACACTCTATGACTGTCTATTGATGATGAGCTGCATCTAGTCTTACTTAATGTCGCTGAGGTAATTAAGAAAAGGTGATAAATGCAATTTTTTTCCAACTGTAAAATGCAGGGAATAAGTCACAATTAGTGGGACAGACAGATAAAAAAGTTACATACCTTCTTTCCCGAGTTTCAAATCCTCAGACTCTTCGCTTCCTTTTCCCTCTTTTCAAGATTTCTGACTCTTTTTTCGCTCCCCTTTCCCTCTTTTCAAGATTTCTGTTCGATTCGAAGATGGAATCTTGGCGAATGCATCCAAACGCCTCGATATTGTTGTTGTTTTTATATTTCGATAATAAAAAATTTACAATTTTATTGTTTATTTACATTCCGGTTTTTTGGAGAGCGTTTCCATTTTGATTTTTTTTAATTTTTACGGCCACTGTCAAAGTGAGACTTCAATAAAATTCCGAATGGCAGACATTATTTAAGGCAAGAAGATCTGAATGCGTTGTAATTTCTTTTTTTCGATTTTGTACACGTGGGTTACAGCGTTGCACGGTTATTTAATTAAATTGCGATATATTTACATAATTTTAATAATTATTTCAAAACATTTATTTAGAACCTTGGTGCACGAAAACGGAACTACAACAACAATTTTTTCATAAATATTTTTATTTTGCAATGTTTTTGTTTTCTTTCCGAAAGCCGGCACCGAATTTGAAAAACAATAACAGAGAGGGAGAAAGATAATATCTGAGAGAGAGAGAGAGAGAACGCCAGATGAGTAATTTGGGCAAAATGTTGCAGCGCTGTAACATTAATACAAACTCTCATTCTTTGACATCTGGTAGTGGGGTAGCTCAGAAAAAAAAAAAAAAACAAGTGATTAATGAAGGGGTCTGGAACCCAATTATTGTATTACGAAAATTGTAAAAAGAAATCTTTAAAAAGAAAATTAATGCCAAATAAAAAATTGCACGGAACAGTTTTTCATTTTATATTTTTATAGAATAATAAAATACAGTAGACAAAATACAGGGTGAGATGGAAAAAACTTCAACCAACTTCAGACTGCTGTCATCTCTAAGCCCCTTGTCCGACAGCTGTTAAAATTATTCCAGTGACAGCTAATTATATTGTTTACAAGCGTACAATATTCTTTTTGGTGAGAATTTTCCAGAAAAAAAGTTATTCGTGATGGAATTCAAGCGTGACAGTGTGATTTCTTTATATTTGGCTGGAAAACCACAAGTGGCTATCGATAGAGCACTCCAGCATTTAAATGCGAATAAATCTTTTATGACTCGTACCATCTTTCGTTACCGTGATACTTGTAGCGTAGCTCCACGTCAAGGAAGTGGACGCAGGAAGAAATCAGCAATATCAGCAGAAATGGTTCGAAACGTAAAGAAGCGACCATGGTAAAATAATACAGGTAGTCGCATCGACACAGCTGCTGGGACAATGAACTGTCAAACCAATTTTGAAATAGAAATTTTTGAATCAAAAATTATTTCAATTATTTCAAATTTGTAAAAATTCTTAATAAAAGCCATATCATAACAGCCTCTGATTGACGTCCTGTAAGAAAACTTACACAAATCTACTTATTTCTGAAGAAACATTTACCAAATTTTTACATTACATTTACAAAAATTTACATTCTTCTACCATGGAAGTGACTTGATCGTCGCAGTTGCCGAAAAAATGGCTCGTGAGCTAAACATATCGCAATATTCCATTTGGCAAATATTGAAAAATGAGCTCGGGGTAAAGCCATTGAAATTCCAAAAAGTACAAGAACTTACACCGAAGCAAGAGAAAGAAAATAGACTTAAAAGAGCTAAAGAGTTGCTTCGCTTGACCGAAAATGGTGAACTGACGAATTGGGTTTTCTTCGATGAAAAAAGAATACATTCGTTGTCCAGTAGTTTGTAAACAAACAAAATAATCGTGTTTAGTTGCCAAAGAGGTCAGCTGAAAATGTGCACCTTCGGTTGGCCACCAGAGCGCAAGCGCCGGGAATGGTGATGGTGTGGGCCACCATAACAGTCGATGGATGTTCTCTCCTCGTATCCACTCGACCGTGGCATCAGAATAAATGCCCAATATTATGGCGAAAATATTCTGGAGGGTGTATTAAAGCCTAGGGCACGCAATCATTTTGGCCGCAGACCTTGGACATTCCAGCAGGAATCAGCATCATCGCACTCAGCACGCGCCACCCAAGAATGGTTACAAAATGAGGTTCCTCGCTTCATTTCCAGCGCACAATCGCCACCAAAAATCTTCGGATACCAATCCGTTGGACTATTGTGTCTGGAGTATTTTGGAAAGCAAGGTTGGCATTAAAAAATACCAAAGTATCGATTACCTCAAGCAAGCGCTTCGCCGGAAATGGGAAAAATGCCGCAGAGCAACATTCGAGCAACGTGTGACGGTTTCATTGGCCGTTTGAAGGCCATAATTCGTGCCAAAGGTAACCCATTCGAACAAATCTATACTTATTCTAAAATTTGATGTTTTTTCCGACATTTTTTGCTTTCATTCAATAAAATTTGAAAAAAAAAAAAAAATGTTAAAGTTATGGCGTTTGACTTTGTTGCTGTTTTTTTGTTATCTCCTTCTGTACATCAAATAAATCCACATGCCCGAGCTTAACCCTGCAAAAATCTATAAGCCAAGCATACCATTAAAGATTAATCGAAAAGAAATTCATATCAAAACAAAAAAAAAAAAAAAAAAAAAAAACACTTATCAATTGAATTCCAATGCTAACCCGCCGATTTAAGACCACCTGTGCTAATCTGACACGCAAAAGTAAAATATAACATTTTAAATAGATTTAAAACAAATATTGTTATTAAATTCTGCGAAAAATCCATAAATCTATATAAAATCTATTACTTATCGATTAGTCATAAATTGATTAAAAAGAAAATGAGAACTTATCAACCATCAACAACGTAAATAAATCAAATCAATGACAGATAAAATATATTAAAAAAATGGTTGGACATTAAAATATAGTTCAATGTCGAAGAGGCAGAGAAATGAAATACCATTTGTTGATCAAGGTCAATATCAGAAGAGAACTTTTTTTTGGAAAATCAGGTGGCCTCTTTGGTATTTAAAATTTATGAATATTCTCTGGATATAAATTTGGAATTTTTAAAGTTTCCCATTTAAATACCTGAGCAAAAAACATAGATTATTTGAAAAATATTTTGAAAGAGTAGTTTGCATGACCAGGACCTCCCAAAAATATGGATTGTTTAGAAAATGTTCAAGAATTACCAGACCAAGAATATGGAAATACAAAAAAATGTATTTCCTTGAGTCACGGTAATGGTGAGATAAGAAAACAACGACAAAGTCAAACGCCATAATTAAAATTTTTTTTTTAAATTTTATTGAATGAAAGCAAAAAAGGATGGAAATAGCATCAAGTTTTAGAATGAGTTTAGATTTCTTCAAATTGGTCACCTTTGGCACGAATTATGGCCTCCTAACGGCCAATGAAACCGTCACACGATATCCGAATGTTGCTCTGCGGTATTTTGGCCCATTCCCAGCGAAGCGTTTGCTTGAGGTTATCGACACCTTGGTATTTTCTGGTGCCAACCTTGCTTTCCAAAATACTCCAAACACAAAAGTCCAACGGATTGGTATCCGAAGATTTTGGTGGCTATTGTGCGCTGGAAATTGAGCGAGAAACCTGATTTTTTTAACCATTCTTGGGTGGCGCGTGCTGAGTGCGTTACTGCCGAGTCCTCTTGGAATGTCCAAGGTCTGCGGCAAAAATGTTTGCGTGCCCCAGGCTTTAATACATCCTCCAGAATATTTTCGCGATGGTATTCGGCATTTATTCTAGAATGTCCTAGGACTGCGGCCAAAATGTTTGCGTGCCCAAGGCTTTAATACATCCTCCAGAATATTTTCGCGATAATATTCGGCATTTATTCTGATTCGATTAATACGAGCGGAGAGCGACCATCGGCTGGTGCACATTTTCAGCTGACCTCTCTGGCAAGTAAACACGATCATTTTGTTTGTTTACAAACAGCTGGACAACGAATGTTTTCTCATCGGAGAAAACCAAATTCGGCAGTTCACCACTTTCGGCCAAGCGAAGCAACTCTTTAGCTCTTTTGACTCTATTTTCTTTCTGTTGCGCGGTGTAAGTTCTTGCATTTTTTTGGAATTTCAATGACTTTACCCCGAGCTCATTTTTCAATATTTGCCGAATGGAATATTGCGTTATGTTCAGTTCACGGTCATTTCGGTCACTGTGATGCGGGTTTCGATCAAGTCGCTTCCATGATAGAAGAATACAGGTAGAAGCATCAACCCTTGGGACCATTGAAATGTCAAAATTTGGTAAATCTTTTATCAAAAATAAGTAGATTTGTGTAAGTTTTCTTACACGGCGTCAATCGGAGGCTGTTATGATATGCCTTCCTTAAGAGTTTTTACAAATTTGCATAATTTTTCATTTCAAAATTTCAGTTCCAAAATTGGTTTGACAGTCCTAGTTGTCCCAGCAGCTGTGTCGCTTCTTTAAGTTTCGAACCATTTCTGCTGATGTTGCTGTTTTCTTCCTCCGTCCACTTACTTGACGTCGGGATACGCTACCCATATCACAGTAACGAGCCACAAAAGATTTATTCACATTTAAATGCTGAAGTGCTCTAACGATAGCCAGTTGTACATCTCCAGCCAAATATAAAGAAATCACAGAAATCTCTGCTTGAATTCCATTACGAATAACTTTTTTTCTGGAAAATTCTCACCAAAATGCTTTTGTACGCTTGTAAACAATATAATGAGCTGTCACTGGAATTATTTTAACAGCTGTCGGGCGAGTAGCTTAGAAATGATAGCAGTCTGAAGTTGTTTGCAGTTTTTACATCTGACCCTGTAATAGTAAATTTTTTTACATTCTTGCAATTCTGGAACAGAGGAAACCTCTTTATTATTTCAAATTGTGTAATTTTCAATCCCAAGAATTTTACTCCAGTTTCAGACAATTCTCAAACCGAACACTTCTTATCTTTCCTTAATTGTCTAATTTTCGAAAGAATCTCATCCATGCCGATTAGATGACAATTCTCCATATTACGTTGCCTTTCCTTTATATCATCCATTCATCCACCTTCCCTCCCATTACACAATTTATGGAGAGGGCAATAATTTGTTGTAATTGGAGAACAAAACAAATTGCATGCCACACCATACACACCGGTGAAAAGAAAAAACGCTGGTGGAATTCGCCATTTGATGGTGGCGTGTAAAACAGTAATTTTTATGGACCCCGCACACACCACACTCACATCCGTATATTTGTACACACGTACTCGTACTTACCTCCACTTGTCACATTATCACCTCCCGCTAATCTCTTTTGATATCTTTGGCATTTTTACGATCCGATTACATCTCCGATTATTATTTCAATGTGCTACGATTTTTGTTGAGCGATTTGGATGAGTAGATTTTCACGTGTTCGCTGGCAGATGGAGGGGGAGGGAGGGGGAGTGTGTGAGGCACTTGTGTACTACACAAAAGAAATTATAGAAAAAAAAGTAAAAAAATCGGCAATTAGCTGCTCACCGACCGATTAATTGTGAATGCGTTCAAGGTTTTGGTTGCCTGACTGGCTGCCTGAAAAGTTCAAGTGGTATTATTAAACACGTAAATAAATGTGTGTGTGTTCAGTGGGACCAAATCGAACTTGTTAGGCCCTCCAGCCTTAGCAAAAGTGGTAGATGTGACAAAGGCTGTAATAAATTTATAAAAATATTGGATTTAGATAAATTAAATTATCAAAAATTTGTCGACTATATGAATGGTCTCACTTCTCAAAATGTGCAGGAGAAATAAGTTCAAAAATTTTTACGAGATGCCTTCCAACTCTAACTTGGAGCCCAAAATGCGAAATTACAGCCCACTCGTTGGATAATGTGGTTGAGCAGAAGGTAGGGTTATAGG